AGTGAGCCCTTGGGTTGCGGGGTCAATCGCAGCCCAAACCCCGGGTCGGCAGGTGCGGCGCTCGCGTTGCATCGGCCTCCTGGGTGGGGAAAGCGCGTGCTCGCGTCCCGCTCGCAAAAAGGAATCGGGTTCCACCCGTGCCCGGGCTGCGAGCGGCGACGAGAGAGATGGCGGGCTCTCGCGTTCCTCCTAGGAGGAGGCGAGCGTCCAGAGCACGCTCGAGGGCACGGAAGGATGACGACCGGCGTTCAGCCGGCTGCCGGATCTCCGTGCCCGTGGCCTTGTCGGAGGATCCGTCGGAACAATGCAGGAACCCCACCTCAGGCCGTGCCCCGCGAGCGCGTCGGTCGTTTTGGCGAGCGATCGGCGAGCTGGCGTGGTGCGGTGGCTCGAAAAAAGTCCGAGCACCGATGGATCCGTTGTGGTGCTGAACGGAAAGCGCACCCCGACAGGCATGGGGCACCGCCCTGGTTGATCCCAGACCTCGGCAAACGCCCCTAAGAACGAGTGACGAAACGACCGCCCTCGGGTCCTCCGGGTTGCTCGCAACTCGGGGGGACCGGGCGAACCTCCTCTCGCAGGAGGTCAGGTTGCCGTCCCCTCTCACGCAGCGAGCTTATTAGGGCCGCCACCCGAAAGGCTAGCCGCGATCGGGAGCGAGGCAAGACGCGGACACGGTCGGCCTGGGCGGAGGGGTGGCACCCGAAGCTCTTTCCTTCCAGTTCGTGACGAGCCTCGACACCAGGGAATGCAGCAACCCGGCGGCACCGGGCGTCCATGCGGACAAAAAAAAAAACTCCCCAGCCCTGATGGAAACAGCTCGGGCCTACCAAGCGCAAGCGAGGGAAGCCCGGGGCCTGACCTCGAGTATCCTCTGAACACCTTTCCTTCCGACGCTCCTCCTCCCAATCCAGCGTCCCCCGCCACCGGTGCTCGGTCTCTCTTGGCATCGGCGGTGTGACTGCGGGGTCTTGCTCGCCCGGCCTTCTGAATTCCTCTAGGAAGGCTCGGGAAGGGGCGCCCGCGGTGATGGCAAAGGGACCCTTTTGCTACCCCCAACCGTCCCGCTCGCAGTGCATCAAGGAGCTGCGGGCAGAGGCGGAATACAAACCTCTCCGCAACCGGAACTGGCCGTCCGGTCGCAAAAAACCCTCCCTTGAGCGGGGCGCCCACGGGCCCCGGCACCTAATAAAAACTGGGACCCCACTCCTGACGATGGATATCTTGGAACCTGGCTCGATGAAGAACGCAGCGAAATGCGATACGTAATGCGAATTGCAAAACTCCGTGAATCATCGAAACTTTGAACGCATGTTGCGCCCGAGGCCTCGGCCGAGGGCACGTCTGCTTGAACGCCACACACATCCAGGTGGAACCTCGCATCCGAACCCACCCCTCCGCACGCAGCTAAGTGCGGCAGGGGAAACGGGACGGGAAAGCAATGCGGGGCAGACAAGGGGCGCTCGGGTTGGTGTGGGCTCCGGCCCCCCCCTTTCTCCGAGACAATCGCTCGTACCTGGGAAAACGAGATGGCCGTCGCAACCCGTGCGCTCCGGGGCACAAATGGGGGGCAGTCGGTTGAAATCGCAGGGCCGCATTAGCCCGTCTCCGCTCCTCTCGACCCCAGTGCAGATCCCCGGGCGCCACCCGGGAGGACGCGAGTGGGACGAGCGAGATGAGGCGGGCGGCGACCCCGCTGGGCTCGGCGAACCCAGCCGGCCAACGGACTCCGTCCGGACCTCCCAGCAGGTGGGGGGGCCGGTCACTCGGTCCCTCTTTTCTCTCCCGAGACGGTCGCGAAAAGGTTCGGGAGCCGGGGGCGTGGCAACCCCCGGTCTCCCCCTCCAAAGTAGCGCACAAGAACGGGCGAGAGGCGGACGGGGCTCGTACAAAAATGGTCGGACGGGGAGGAACCGGGCAAACCCCAAACGATGGCTTCAAGTCAGGCGAGACCACCCGCTGAATTTAAGCATATTACTAAGCGGAGGAAAAGAAAACAACCGTGATTCCTTTGGTAGCGGCGAGCGACCAAGGAAAAGCCCAGGCTTGAAATCCGAGGGCCCCCGGCCCTCCGAATTGTAGTCTGAAAAGGAAGCGTTCTCTGTGACGGGCGCCGCCTTAAGTCCACTGGAAAGTGGCGGCAGAGAGGGTGACACCCCCGTCGGGCGACGACCCGTCACTCCACGAGACGCATCCGAAGAGTCGGGTTGCTTGGGAGTGCAGCCCCAACATGGGTGGTAAGCTCCATCCAAGGCTAAATACGGCCAGGTTTCCGATAGCGAACAAGTACCGCGAGGGAAAGATGAAAAGAACTTTGGAAAGAGAGTAAAAAGTGCTTGAAATCGTCAGGAGGATAAGCGCATGAGCCCAAGCAAACCTGCGGGCCCCGTTCGCGCGGGGCCCGGAGGTACGCAGCGCCGGTCGATGCCGCGGGAAAAGGAGCTCGCTCCCACCGCGGCGGAGACCGAGGATGACCCTCACGGGTCGGCGCTGGCGAAAC